AAACACCGTAGGCCCGCTTTTTTTTTTAACCCCTGTCTTGGGGGGGTTCCCCTCTATACCCCGAACCCTTTGTTTTTTTAGATTGGAAGTCCTCGTCGGGGGGGGACATTCAGCAACTTTTTTTTTTCGGGCAAAGCGTGGGTGTCCTCTGGGTCCCCAAAGCCCCTCGGCTTCAGACCCTCCTTGTCAAAACCGTTTGTTTTAAAAAAAAACGGGAGCTGTCCTCCTTGGGTTTCTCAAGAGGAGCGGACAGCTTTTTTTAATCGCCCTTTTTGGTAATTTTTTTTTTTGCCCCCCCCCCCCCCCCCCCCCCCCCCCCCCCCTCCAGAGATCCTCAAGACGAGTTCCTTATTCTGGCCACGGACGGTGTTTGGGACGTGATGGACAACCCTGGGATCGTGAGCTTCTTGCAGATACAGGCGAGCCATTTGGACGTGGTCGTCCACTTTGCTGCTGCACCAACAACCACACTCGCGCGCTTTAGTCCAGCCCCAATGTGTGTAATGTGTGTCTTCTTGAATTAGATCGACCACACCAAGTGACTGACCAATGAAAGTACGTCCTTTGACTCAACTGACACCTCGACATTGCAGCACCATTGCAAACACTCGCGTTTGGCGTTGTTCTTGCGTGCCCTGCGCAACCTTTACTCTATTATTTTCCATCATGGCACAACAAATCCATCATGTCTTCTCCACAGACAACAGTAGTCCGGGATAGCTTTAACGGTGAATTCACAGCATCACTCCTTTTCCGCGAAAAACAACAGGCGGCCTGCCTCGCCCGAGGGGATGAGATCTACGGAGAAACCGGAGATACCGGAGAAACCGACAGCGAGTTGCTCGCGAGGTCCGTCCTGAAGCGCTGCCTAGACCTCGGCTCCCGCGACAACATGACCATCGTTCTCGCGGACCTAAGACGGCGGCGGCGGAGGGCAAGGCCGAAGGTATCGCCGCCAAAGCTGTCGCCGACGATAGGAGAGGGTCGCGGCGGTGTCGAAGACCGGGGGGGGGTGGCGGCGGCGGCGATCGGGGCACCCCTGCTCGGGAATCGCGGCGGCACCGAGGCGGTACCAACGGTAGCAGCGGCGGCAGTACCGGCGGCCGTGGTGGGGGCTTCGACGGCAACAGCGGTAGCAACGGCGGCGGCGGCGGTAGCCCCAGCAGCAGCGGCGACAACAACAGCGGGTGCTGGAGACAAAGGAGACTTTGGCCCTAGCATGAGGGTTAGTGGTGGTGACAGTAGTGTTGGTGGCAGCGCGGTATCCGTGTCGACGGGGGGGGGTGACCCCGCTGTACACGGCTCGGTAGCAGCAGCTGCAGCGGAGGCGGGAGTGGGCACAAGAGAAGCGTTGCGCCAGAACGCCGGTGGTGACGGCGTGGGTGCGGGCGATGGGTCATTTCTGGCGGGACACGTCGGCGACGGCCGGGACGGGTCGTCGAGAACGCGCCCGGGACAGTCAGCCGGCGTGTCAGGGCTGACGGCGGGAGGCGGGGGCGCAAACAATACCTCGAAAATCGCGGTAGAGCCCGGTGGCGTTGCTGTCAGCGGGGTAGTAGGCGTTTCGGGAAAAACTAGCACCGGAGGCGCGGCGGCTGTAGTCGAAGGCGATGGCGTCGGAGAAGCCTTGACCGTGCGGGAGGCGGGCGGGTTGCTGCGGCCACCAGAAGCGGTAGACGGCAACCAAGAGCGGTAGCATCGGTGATGAAGGTTTTTCGAGGAGGCGGTTTTGATTTATGCCCCAAGATTGCTTCCTTAAGGAAAGGAAGTAATGCCAAAACACTTGGTTGCCGTGTTCACTGCAGCGCACCGAGCGTGCGAGTAGATTTGTTGTTGCAGGGTGGTGGGGGTAGCAGCACTTACTACTGGGTGTATGGGGACACTGAGGCGACGGAGATACGATCGCCCTTGTCAAGACCAGCCGGGTGGGGTAGCAGCACTTACTGCTGGTGTTATGGGGACACCCAGGCGACGGAGATACGATCGCCCTTGTCAAGACCAGCCGCGGGATTCGCATGCCCGTCTACTCCGTTAATGCCCGATTTTTTCGCGTACAGTAGCTGCTCCTGGGCGATACAACATGACACGGAACTGTCCGACGCCCAAAAACCGGAGGTTTGTTGGGGAGCACATTGAGACAGCAGTGGCAAATTTGCTCCGGGGCGTATGTTGCAACCCCACCCCATCCCCCACTGGTGCCCGACAACAATGTTCATCTAGGGATGTTGCCGTCATGCTAGTCGCCGTGTAGTACCCTCGTTGCTGCTCTCATGTGTTGTGGCAGGGAGAGGGACGTGGGTGTTCTTAGCTGTTGTGGTTCTTATTATTTTGTTAAACTCTTCGTTTTCCCGTTCCCGCGCGCGTTTCTAGGGCGTAGTGTTTTGTTTTGTCCGGCCCCTCCGTGCGGACACGCTTACGGTCCTAATTTGATGCGGCGGTAGGTAGTGAAAAAACGTGGTTTGTGTGGTTGTAGCAGATAGATGTGTGGATGTGCGTTTTTTTTTTTTAGGGGTTACGATAGACGGTGTGTTGCTATATAGTCGATCACCTGTAGATATACCGTGTGTGGTCATTCATGTCTTGACGCGTGTTGCGTGCGGGTTGTTCCGTGTGGAGTTACATATTAGTTATAGTTCTCTTGCTCTTCGAGATGATGCAGATAGATGTGTGATAGTGGCAGATTGGTGTGAGCTTGAGCTGCCTGTGGTCTAGTGAGACGAAGCAAGAGCATAAGATGACGTTGTTTACTGCAGTGGTGAAAAGTTGTATTGTGGTGAGCTGGTACATTCGTGTGACGTGCGCACACGCTTTGACGTGGGTTGGAAGGGGGGTTCACTACGATGTAAGTGTCGCTTCGCTGTTTTTCGGGATACATGTAGCACCAGGCTTTGCGTGAGCAAGCATAAGCACCCTTTTTATTTCACCGGCGCCTTCTTCAGAAACCATCTCAACGCTAATGGGCAAGGCGCTCTCCTGCTTGCTGCGGATTTCTTAGAATTTTGACGTTTGAGTCTCATGATCGTCTCCAGCAGGGCCTGGGAGGTCGAAAGGGATGGCGGCGACAAGGAACACCACCACGTGCCCTCCATCCCGGATGCCATTAGCAACGATGCCCCGTCGCAACCTCCCGATATGCCACAGACAGGATATCGTTAAGACACAAGATGGTGGCAAATTCATTCAGCGACCAACGTGTAGCAGTAGTAGCGGTCATGAGGTCTGCGTTTCGAGCCCATTGCCACGTGAGGAAACGCGCTGCCCAATTTGCCTCGTCTGCATGTAGTAGTTGACCGTTTTGTTTTCGGTCCTTCTCTTGCTTCCCGAGTGTGGCCGAAAAAGGCCGTTGGTTTTTGTCCAATCGTCTTACTTCCCGAGTAATAGGTCCAGCAGGCACCCAAGTGCAACGGAGAAGCTGGCCGACACACGGTAATCTTGGGAACCTCTGGGGGACACGACATTTGCTCACGGTGAACGGCTGAATTTCTTGCCTTGACGCTACACGGTAATCCTGGGAACCTCTGGGGGACACAATATTTGCTCATGGTGAACGGCTGAATTTTTTGCCTTGACGCAGCCTCTCGGCTGACGGAAGGACGCCTGGACCACCGCTCGTGGCAAGCACTGCATGCATGTCTCAATCCTTCGCACAGAGAGAAAGAAAGCATGCACCGCAAAAAAGGAAGGCGGAGTAACAGTAGACTCCCGGCGGGCTTAAATCATAGGTGACCCTCACAAAAGCGGATCAAAAACGAAATACCTACTGTTGTAGAAGGTGAAGTAGGACACACACAACACAGCGTCTCAGAACGATAAAAACTAGACTTCCAAGCCGGGACTCAACGGGGTTCCTTGCACTATAGTTTGCGTGACACCAGCCCAACAAAAACACCTCGTACGTAAACCATGCCATGTTGCGCGCAACGACGTTTGCATGCAAACGCATGGTATGTAGAACCAACCTCCCGTCGCAAGCCTTTGCAAGCCAATCAACGCAAGGTGCGCTGCTCGACAAGGATGGATGGATGCCACCCAGACCAGTCAGTTGATTCCAACCCTAGGTGTAGCCTCTCGCGCGTTCACGTGTGGGCCGTCTCTTTCCGGCAATTCCACCTACACGCTTTGGGTGTTCCCCAAGCTATGTAGCTCCTTCATGTCTTGTCCTGGAACCACGAGAAAGCATCATTCGCATACATAACCCCCCTGCCCCCCTTTTCATCTCTCTCTAGGTTACACCTTCATAGTCGATTCTGCCCAAACAGCGTTAGTCTTGCTACATGCAATGCCCTCCCCCCCCCCTTTCATCTCTCTGTCTCTGTCTCTGTCTCTCTGTCTCTGTCTCTCTAGGAGTGAGTGCACACTACGGCAGTCGTTACTGCCCGAAAGCCGTTGTTGGTCTTGCTACATCAATATTTGCTGAAAGCCACGAATCCGGGAATAACAAAGAAGAAGCGATTCCTCCAAGCCCCCCCCGCATCATCATCCCGACTGCCAACCCCCCCCGAAGTAGCAGCAGTGCTCACAACACCTCGAAAGCAACCCAGGGAATCCACCCAAAACAAGAAGGTGCAGCGTTTGTAAACTACATACCTACGGCCACCGTGTGCCATGTGGTACGCCCTACTCACGAAGGAGCATATGCCTTTGCAGCCTCCGTGACGATCGGGCCGTAGTGCCCGGCGAACACCTGGTGCGTAGGAAAGAGACAAGAGCACAGGGGGGGGGGGGGGGGGG